GCCGCCCGGATGAAAACCCGGTTTGGGAGGGGGTGGGGGAAAAAATGTAGAAAAGGCTGGTCTTAGGGGGTGGGGGGTAGATGGTTGCCTGTTCTGTTTTCTTTTTCACAATTCAACACGTGTACCACCTTATCCGTTTTTTCAAGGCTGATTTTGGGGGCATGAAATAACGATATGGATGTGGTAACGAATTGATGATTTGGTCCCCTGTCTCGTTCCAGATTTCAACTTTTAGTTTTATTGATTGAAAGAGGTTAGGACTTTCTGTGGATTCATGGGTTGGCTTTTGGGTGGTTGTTGTGGTTTGTCATTTAATGAAATGTGTATAGATTAAAAGTTCACTATAATTATAACATATAAGAATATAAATGATATAATTATGGTTTAGTTATGAATTACACAGGTTCATCAACAATTAGTTTAAACCTTATGTTTTGTACTCCTCCAAAATTCATTCTACTTCTTTCATCATCAATACATCTGTATATTGTTTGATGTGCCTCTATCATTACTTCGGTTATATTATCTATGGTTATATTATCTACAAAATCATCACTATGAAAATGAAAACTAAAAGTGTTAAAATGGTCGTCTTCATAATTGAAATGATGAAACCTTACAAACATATTTACCTCAACTATTATCACTGCTTCATAACCGTTATCGGTTTCAATGCCATCTAACAAACAATCTAAGTTTTCATTTTCATTAAACACTATATCTTTGATGCTTTTTATGCTTAAAGGTATATTTCTTGAAATGTAATACTCAATTACGTGTCTCTTTATATCATCGCCATCTTCAACAGTATAGCGCTTTGTCTTTCTTTTTGTTTCTGTTCTGTCTATTTTATATCGTTGTTGTATTCTCTTTAATGTCTTAATATGATTATGTTTTAGTTTCAAATACTCAGGTCGCCCTAATTTATATGCAATGATACCTTTTAATACATCAGCAGGTAAGCTAGCACAATTCTCAAATATAAAATTATTCTCTGACATTTTACCCTCACTCATTTTTCTCTTAATATATAAGGTTTTTTCTCTTTAAGTAGTTTTTTTAATGTTAAGGGGTGGGGGTTATATCGATAAAAAATATTTTCTAACAAATAATATAATGGCGAGATTAACGAAAGACCAAATAATCAGCAACATCTATTATGACTTAGACGAGGGTTTCGGAAGCACACAAGCAACACACAAGAAGGCAAAGGAAGAAGACCCAACGATAACATTAGAAGATGTAAAGTCTTTCTTAAAGAAACAACCAAATAAACAAATCAAAAATTATAGAGGCACTAATTCCTATACCGCTCCCTTCGCACGATATGAATATCAAATAGACATAATGCATATGTCACCTTTAGCTAAAGACAAGAACGTTCCACAGTATGCTTTAGTCGTGATTGACATCTTCAGTAAATTAGCAGATGCAATTCCGATGGAGGAAAGAGACGGAGAGCACGTTCTAAAAGCACTAAGAGCAAGTTTTAAAAAGATGGGTTATCCGATGTCTGTGTATTCTGATGATGATGGAGCATTTGCAACCAAAAACCAAGTTCAGGATTTCTTCAACAGCGAAGGTATCAAACACATAATAACGAAGACACACGCAAATGTAGCCGAACGTTTTATTAGGACCATGAAAAACAAAATTCACGATAGAGTTAGGTTTAATAATATGAAATGGACCGATGCCTTAACACCAGCATTGAAACAGTATAACAGCACATTACACTCGTCAACAAGGATGACACCAACCGAAGCACACAAGGACGACAATGAAATAAATGTAAAGGTCAATCTGAAACTACGAGAAAAGAACAAAAGAAAGTATCCCAGAATACAGGAGAACGATAAGATAAAAGTGTTTCAAAAGAAAAGGGGCAATTACACCGACAGAAAAGAGTATAACTCTAAATGGTCTAATAAGATATTCAATGTTGATAAAATTGAATATGATATTATGGGCAATAAAACTTACAGAGTAGCAGGAATAAACAAACCACTTCTGAGACACGAAATTTTGTTAGTTAATGATTAAACATATTTCTTGGTATCTTCAATATACTTGACTTGGTAGAAATCCAGACTTGATTGTTTAGGTTCTTTAATAACTTTTTCATTAAGTTTTTTAATATATACATTTCGTTTATTCTTGTATTCAGTGCTCTCTCTATCAACTTCTTTTGGTTGGTAATTATTAGTATTATTGTAAGCTGGTTTCTTCATACTTTCTAACAGTTGATAAATGCGTTTATTTTGTTCCATTATTTCATCAATTTTCAAAAATAGTTTATCCACACCTTCCATATATACTATATTATAAAACTAAAGTTTTAAAACTAAATATTTTAATTTCGAAGGTCTCTGTTTCTTAAATGTTTAAATTCTTCGCCTTCTACCATAACTCTAACAATGTTATCTAAATCTTTTTGAGTATGTCCACATACTAACGCTTTGTCCAGATATAAATATTCATAGCTAAGACCAACACTAAGTAATAAACAGTTATATTTTTTAGTTTGAGTACGAGTTAAGACTATTTTACATCCACACTTACAAGTATAATAACTAACACCATTATAATTATTGTCTCCAATTTGCTTGTCTAATTCAAGTGCTCCAAAATGTAAATGTGTTAAACTTGAAAATTCAACCATATACTATATTATTCAACTTTACTTTTAAAACTAAATGTTTAAATTATGTTAATTCTAGTCTTTAAATACTAATTTTTCATCATTTGTTTAATAGTTTCCTGTGTTTCGTTATCAACATTATCTGACGTTGTAGCTTCATTTCCAAATTTGATGCAAATATTATGAGCATCTGTTTCTAAGTTGATGCCGTCTTTAGTTTTATCAATGTTCATTTTCTTATCATTTTTAGATATTTTGAACCCTATTGGCACACAACTGCATTTGCAATTACCCTTATTTTTTATTTCTAATTCATTTCTAAGTTCTAACATCTTTTTACACATAGGACAAGCAAACTCAGTGACTGATGCTTCTTTAACAATTTCTTCATCAGTTGATGAAACACTTAAACCTGTCTTATTATTTTTGTTTTTCTTTTTTGGCATTTATATTAATATTTATATTTTTAATATATTGTATCAAAAACTTAATTAATTCTAAAATAAAATAACATATTTTTTTACATCTATTATCAGTTATGACAACCCGTTCTATATTCTCCATTTCATTTATTATATTAATATAATCTGTATAACTCCTTTTCATATTAAATAATAAGATAAATTATTTTTCATTTCTGTCTTTCTTTTCTTGTAAAGTTTTTTCATTGTATCGTCTTTAATCCATCTATATTCTACAAATTTCTGATGATATTTTGAATTTAGATGTTTAAATAAATATTTGTCATCATAAGTTTTACCACAACTGCAATGGATAATAGTCATATAAATAATAAGATAAAATAATTATTTAATCTTATTATTTTCATGCATAATAGAATATTGGTGGGGCACAGCACTTGGGGTTTTCATTGCATACGCGAGCAAGACACAAAACTAATTATCTTCAATACTTATTGACTGAAGTTGATGAAAGAGCCTGTTCTACTACGATAGACACCATTCATATCATAGCAATGCTTTCATACAATAAATAATATTAATTTATTTTCTAAATATTTTTAATATTATTATTTTATGCCTGAAGTTCCCATTATAAAACCAATAAACATAACTGATTATGAATTCAAACAATCCAAATATGAACATGTACCAAAACTACCTTTTCGCTCAATTGTTGTTGCTTCATCAACGGGTGGCAAAACAGTTTTAATCCAAAACCTTATCCTAAATGTTTATAGGGACTGCTTCGCTCGTATATTCATTTTTAGTCCGTCTGTTCATAATGACCCTACCTTTGTTGAAGTCAAGAAATATCAAAAAGATAATATGAAGGTTGATGATGAAAAAGAAAAGTTATATTATGACACCTACCAACCTGAAGAACTGGAAGAAATAATTAACACTCAAAGAAAGATAATTCATTATATGAAAGAACAGAAGATGAAGAAACTACATTCAATTTTAATCATAGTTGATGACTTTGCAGACGACCCTAAATTTGTTAGATACAGCAAGTTATTACATGGACTGGCAACGAGAGGCAGGCACGACGCCATTAGTTTTTGTTTAAGCGTTCAAAAATATCGTGTCCTAGCACCAATCATTAGGTTGAATTCAAGTTCGTTGTATATCTTCAAGTTAAAGAATGTATCTGAGTTAATGTCATTCATTGAGGAAAACTCGGCCATCGTTGATAAAGAGCAACTGTTAAATATGTATCATAAAGCGGTAGATGATAAGCCATACTCCTTCTTTTATGTTAATATGAATTCCAAAGATGTTAATAATATGTTTTATGTTAGATTTGAGAAAGCTTTTAAAATAAAATAAATCTATTATATATTATAGAATGTTAAAAATGTTTCAAGAAAGAATATATGAAGAACCAGTAAGGTTTTTCGGTGATGACGGACGTAGTCCCTCATCAGGGCGAAGCCGTGATGACATACCAAAACAGATTCAGGAATATCGGAAGCAAAGACTACAACAATTAGTAGAGTGTGAATGTGGTGAAACTTTTTTAATGAAGGATGCTGCTAACCATATTGAAAGTGATTGTCATATTACTTTTAAGGAAGCAGAAAGAATGAGGAAAGAATTAGAAGAACATATTCGTATAGAAAATGATACTGATAGTGATATTGATGATTATAGTGATGGTGATTCAACAAGAGTGCCAGATGATTAAAAAATAACTAAATATGTTAGATTTGAAAAATCATTTAAAATAAAATAAATATTCAAATATATTATGATATTTTATGATTTACCAATAGAAATTAAAAACCTTGTATTATCTTATAGTTTAGGTGATGTTAAATTATTAAAAATAAAAAATAGTAATATTATTAAAAATTATATTAATAAATATAAACCAGTTTATAAGTCTTACACAT